TTTTAAAAATTTGTAGACTTGATATATATATATATTAAAAATTTTAATTTAATAATTAAATCGTTAAAATTTAATATAAAACATAAATTATTAAATATAATAAATTTATCAAGACTTATTCTTAGAGTAAGTTAATCATTTTATATAGGCTTAAATATGTTTAAATTATCTTGAATTAGCTCGATTTTCAGATTAATACTTTTTAAATTTTTTTTTATTAAAATTACCTGAAATTTTTTTTTTCAATTTAGTACCTGACGTTAGTTTTTTCTGTTAAATGATGACATGGCAAACGGACTGCCATGTCATCACCTAACAGTGTCTGCCACATCATCCAAGGGATGCCATGTGGACATGGTGATGACATGGCAAACACTGTTGGGTGATGATGTGGCAGACGGTATGCCACGTCATCACTTGATAGAGGGGGACCAACGTCAGGTACTAAATTGAAGAAAAAAATTAGTCAGGTATTTAAAACAAAAAATAATAAATTAATAGTTAGTAATCTGAAAACCAACCTGATTGGAGGTAGTAATCTAAAAAATCGACTTAATTGAAGGTAGTAATCTGAAAATTGTTACTGAAAGTAGATAGAATTCCGTCTGGAGGAGACTTGACTTAGCAAAATTTTCAGTACTTCCATATAAGTGAAAGATACAAAATGAAAAAAAAAAAAAAATATATATATATATATATATATATATATAAATTAAGCGAATATTTGTGGCATTAACTTTCTTATCTTACAAGTAAAACTTATAAGATTTGAAATTAAATTTTTATTTAAAAACTTATTATTAGTAAATATAAATATTACACACATGTATATTATATATATACTAAGTTTTAATATAATTTTCTTTTTTTTATAATCAAGTGCAATAGTTTTCATACATGATCAATGAGAAGTTAATTTATGTGCATTTGTTGCTTTTGTTTCTAGTTACAGGTATTTTTATGTCTTCTTCATCTTATTAATTTTCACTTTTCTCCACTTCTTCATTGTCCACTATCTTTGTTGGAATTTTTGGTCCATTTTTTATGACAAACCAAAGTTTGAAGTCGATGGATTGTATGAATATTCACATACGCTCCTTTCACTCAGTGTAATTTATGCAATCGAAATATGGTGGCCTCAAAATAAGTTGTCCTTCAGTGACAATTTTCAGATTACTACCTTCAATTAGGTCGATTTTCAGATTACTAACTTCAATTAGGTCGATTTTTCAGATTACTACCTCCAATTAGGTCAATTTTTAGATTACTACCTATTAATTTATTATTTTTTGTTTTAAATACCTGACTAATTTTTTTTCTCTTCAATTTAGTACCTGACGTTGGTCTTCCTCTGTCAAGTGATGATGTGGCAGATGAACTGCCACGTCATCACCCAACAGTGTTTGCCTTGTCATCACCATGTCCACATGGCATCCCTTGGATGATGTGGCAGACACTGTTAGGTGATGACATGGCAGTCCGTTTG